CGTGTCAAACCACTGAAAGTCCGAGACGATGTCGGCGTGGCCCTTCATGCACGCGAGGGGCACGAACGGCCGCGCCGTGTCCCACACGTTGATGCTACCATGCGTGAGCGGAGGACAGAAAGAGTCGACTACCTGCTGTCGGTGATCGACGAACTCGTTGCAATGTGATCTAATGGAATGGCGTCTCAGCTACGACTATGAGCGATCGACGACGTACCGGGGCAGTTGGGGCGCCATTGGATGCGACCTGCGTTGGCAATCAGCGCGATCGTTTGCTTGGGTTTGTTGACGTCGTTCAGGTCCCAAATCTGGCCAAGATTAAGCACGGCAAGCGGCAGAATAAAACTACCTTGACACTGCGGTCGCGCGACCCGGTCGCAATCACCGATGGCTGCGTCGGGTGCCAGTCCAGCGACAAAATGTGGCCCTGGTGGGCCGTGAACGTGATCTCGGGCTTCTTGTTGTTGCCGAGTTCCCAGACCTGTAGGTAACATACGATGGTCCGAGGCGATCGTTGGAGCGAGTACGTACTTCGACCGTGCCATTCTCGAACGCGGCCGCAAACTTGGTGTCGCCATAGGGACTAAACTTGACGTCGCGAACGCTCTCAGACTTTTGCTGCTGAAACACATTGATCTGCTTGCCCTTGTAGCGCTGGTCCTAAGGCACATGGTCAAAGTGGCAGTACGAACGGAAAACGCCGGACCCAGAGCTTGATCAAGCCGTCTTGGGACGCGCTGAGGAGCAGGTTCGGGTCCGTCGGATGCCAGCAAATGCGGTTCACAGCGCGGTCGTGGGCCTTGAAGTCGCGCTCTATGAGGAGAGGCATGAGCCCGGACCACACGCGCGAAGCAATCCAACTCTGGAGCTTGGCCGTGTCGCGCTGGATGTCCCAGATCACAATGTAGCCGTTTGTCGACGCGGTTGCGAGGAGGTAGTCGGATTCTACGTGGTGGTGAGGTAGGTGCCAGAAAGGGCGACGAAGGATGCAGTACGAGGATGCCACCGAATATCGTTGGTGCTAAAGTTGAGGCTGGACTTGGCCGAGCGCAGGTTGCGCTTCTCAACAAAGCCGCCGCTCTCGAGGGCAATGATCTTGAGCACGTCGCGGCCGCCGACGGCTATGAGCTAGTGCAATGCATGGGCATGGGGTGCCATGGCCCATGGTTCGCCATACCTTCTGGCTGGACGAGACAGACACCGCGTTCAGCGGACCCTACACATATCGAGCGTGATCTTACCATGTACATCAGCATCTTGGTTGCGCACTGCAAACTCCATGGACGCCCGCACGCTGCTCGGTCGGGTCGCCGTCATCGCACTCTTAGAATTGTCGGATTTTGACCAATCCGATCGCAGATAGAGACAGCCAATCGGTGCCGCGTTTCGAGCGGCATTTTATCCAATCGGCGCGCGTGAGGTTTCACGTCGTAATCCGTTTCGCACTCGAGAAAGGCGCGCCGATGCCAACGGCGCGGCAGGTCCAGCGATGGTGTTCGCTGCGCCTCGAGCAGCGCTTGCAGTGGATACGCTTGCTGCGACTGCTCTACCTCCAGGAGCTCAAGGTCAAGCCGTGGTGGCCACGCGACCCGTTCTTCCCCAAGCGCGGCCGCGAGTCCTTTCGCGAGTACACGCAGCATACGCTCGAGCAGTCGTTGGCGGGCAAGACGCTGGACGCGGTCATGATTCTGCTCAGTTTTACCATGGTGTACCTCTACATCCACGTTGTGTGGTCCAGTGGCGAGAACCTACCCAACGCTGGCATTTCCTGTGCGGCATTCCATCCAAAATATGTCATTCTCATGTGCTCAACCTCTAGTTGCAACCAAGGCGATCGGCGCCATCTTTACATTCGAGTACGCCAATATGACGTCTACGAGCTATCTCTAATGGACGTGTGTGGTAGCTACATGATACGACTGTACGCCGCGCCGCTCCGCTGGAGCTACGTTCAGAGTTACGCATCGATCTTTGATCTGATTTGCATCATCCCGACGTGGGTCGAGATCGGCATGACGCAGGACCAGCTGCTCGCCTTCTCGCAGGCGACGCCCGAGAACAAGCAGCTTGTGCAGTTTGTACGCGTCCTCAAGGCGTTCCGGATCCTGCGCGCGTACCGCCTCTTGCGCTTCACGTCGTCGATGGTCCAGCGACAAGTGCTTTTGACGCTCCTCACGGTCATTTGCATCATCGTGTCGATGTCGGGCGCGATGCAGATCATCGAGCTTTGCCCCGACCAGTGCGTGCAGTGGGGCTGCCAAGACTTTCTGCGCTCGGATGGCCATAAGTGCGTCAACAGTCTCCTCTGCAACACGGGCGTGGGCGCCTCGCTCGCCTGCTGCAACTGTCAGAGCCGGCCGTTCTTTGACTGGATGTACTGCATCACGGTGACCATGTCGACGGTCGGGTACGGCGACATTGCGCCCAAGACGCGCCTCGGCCGCCTCACGATGGGCTGCATGATCCTCTTCACGTTCGTCATGATCCCGCTGCAAGTGAACGCGCTCGTCGCGCTCATGTCGGAACGCTCCAAGTTTACGACTCGATACACCGACTA